CCATAAATAAGGGTATTGTTTGTTGCCAATAAACATTTAAAATATCGACAAAATTTAGGTTCCTGCAAAAAAATATAATATATATTTTTAAGGCCAGGCAGAGTGGGCGCGGCTGAGGCCGCACTCCCCTTGCCACATAAGCACAAACACCGCCCCTTGGGTGCGGTCCAGGTGCGGCTGAGGCTGCGATGCGGCTTTCGGAGGGAGCGCTAATTGTTTGATTTTGATTGGCCAGTCCATTTGACCGTTGCAAACAATCATAATTTGGGTTTTTTATTTTTTTATTTTTTTTATTATTTTTCTTTTAACCTTTAACATCTATTTAAACCTCTCGACCCTTCATTTTTTTTTATCTTTCTACTACATTACCTCTCAAAAAAAATGTCTTCGTCCGATTCTTCTGAAGAATTTGATGTTATATTCGATGTTTTTGTCGTTGCTGCTAAATTTGCGGAACAAACGTATGAAGCGGCATGCAGTAGGGCATCCGGAAGTGCTGAACAGAGAACCAGAAGATTTATTTGTAGAAATCGTGAAGATACAAATCAACGTCTGATACAAGACCACTTTCAAGAAAATGCCACTTTTCAAGGATACTACTTTAGAAGACGCTTCAGAATGTTCAAACAATTGTACGAACGTATAGTTGAAGATTTAACGAGGGAGTGTGATATTTCCGAGCAACGGCCCGATGCTAGAGGTACACCCGGTTTCACCCATTTACAAAAATGTACAGCTGCACTTCGTCAATTAGCATATGACATCCCTCCTGATGCGTTGGACGAGAGTTTTAGGATGTTAGCTAGGACTGCCCGAGATAGTCTACACTATTTTTGGAAAACTATTATTCAGTTTTATGGTCCAAAATATTTACGTAAGCCTACATGCAATGACATCATGAAATTTCAATCTCATCATGCTAGTGTGCATGGCTTTCCTGGAATGTTAGGAAGTTTAGATTGTCTACATTGGGCATGGAAAAATTGTCTTACCTCACACCATGATCAATTTACCCGAGGTGATCATGGGCATCCAACGGTCATACTTGAAGCGGTGGTATCACATGATCAGTGGATTTGGCATGCTTTTTTTGGTTCTCCTGGATCCCTTAACGACATTAATGTTCTTAATCGTTCACCTATATTTAACAACATATTCAACGGATCTGCACCGGATTCTTCTTTCCAATTGCGTGGAACACCATATAAATATGGTTATTATCTAGTTGATGGGATATATCCTGAGTATGCGGTTTTTGTTAAATCGTTTACGTGTCCGAATGATACTCGTCGGAAAAAATTCAAGAAAACTCAAGAAAGATCTAGGAAGGATGTCGAGCGGGCTTTTGGAGCTCTCAAGAAACGTTGGTTTATATTGAAAAAACCAGCAATTTTTTTAAGCGAGGAAAAAATGCATGAAGTAATGTATGCATGTATAATACTACATAATATGATTATCGAAAATGAAGGAAGAGCGATATGTGAGTATGATGAAGAGGAAACCATTCCCGCGACACAAGCAATAGAAATTGGGGGCGATGATTACATTGAAAAGATAGCAGAGGTTCGTTGCAATGAAACATTTCACAATCTTCGTATGGACTTGGTGGAACACATTTACGGGATTCAACACATTAACCTCAATTTGGATCCGGAGGATGACCCGGAAGACGAGTTCAAGGAGGACGACTTCATGTAGTGTGTTTTATTTTTAATCATTCAATGTATGTTTTTTTAAGTTTGTAGGTTTAAAATTTTTAGTGTTTTTTTTTTTTTGAAGTTTTTAGGACTTTTATTTAGGCAAAGGAATGTAATGTTATTTTTATTTTGAAGTAATGAAATGAATGTTTTTTATTAAAAATATAGTTTTTATTTAATTAAAAAAAATCAAGTGTGACACCACTCATTGGGTGTGGCATGAAACCACACTTTTGTGGTAAAGTATGACGTATCGCCTACTTGGCAGTGAAGCAGTGAAAGGTGTAACACCCGTGTTTCTGGGCTAAACATTAATGATGATATAATAGTCTAGGTCAACCATTGGAACTCGTTTTGAAGTAATAAGAATGAATTATGTGCTTTAAACTTAATTATTATGATTAAGAATAAAAATAAGCGTCGAAAATTAATATTAGATAAAGTCGATATCTATGACGGAAGTTGTAGTGATCGTGACAAGGATTCCGGATATATAAAGAACGCCGAAATCCGAGTTATAACGAAGAAGTTATGACTAACCGGTACGACACTGCGTGACGTAAATAGTGAATTTACGATAGAAAGATTTTTAGCCTTAGTATTTTACTAGGGCATAATATTCGAAGCTTCATGTTTAGTCCTTAGTATATTTTTTGTACGCTTTTTTCTTCTATAAATAGGAGTGGTTACTAGTGTCTTAGTAACGAAGTCTTTACAGAATATTCATTGTACTCTGTAAAATTTGCAAAAGCGTAATAGAGCCAAACAGATCATATTTACATCGGTGTTCAAATCTTTCAATTCTACTTTGAATTTACTCTCTAATTCGTTCAATACTTGATTCATTGTCTCATCAGTGATCTAAACGAAAGTCGTAGAGTTCGTTAAACCGAGAGCGTGCATAAAAAGAACGCTTAAATTTGACTTTGTATGAGAAAGTTATGATTTTTCTAAGTTTCGACTTAGCAGTATGCAGCCCAAAACTCGAAATTTAGATCGAGTGATTTTTAGCCGAAACAATATAAACGAGAATCGAAGATCTCGTCGATATTAGTGCAACGGTAAAAAGACAGACAAAAACGGACGTCGGATGAAGAAGTTATGAATTTTTAACGGACTTTTCCTGTCCCGGCCCGTTAAAAATATAATATTAAAAATGAAGTCAAAATTAGTCGGCGGAGTCTAAACGAAAGTTGTAGAGCATAACTTCACCTACGCGTGGATATAAAGAACGTCAAAAACGGAGTTCGTATGCGAAAGATATGAATTTCTGAAGTTCGGAACACAAACTTCGAGGTCTGACTAATTAGAAAACTATCGACTTTACCTCTTTATCGTCGTTGATGGTAATCTCCTTATGACACGTCCATACCATCTCAAATGTCCTTACCTTATCAGCTTTCCCATATTTTCTATGTTTATGATGCGTTTTTCATGGTAGACTGGGATGCATAAAACGTCAAGAGTCTAATTAGAACAATAAGATGTTTTTATATGATTTCAGGATCGCATTTGAATTTAATGAAGTAGACTTTGATAGGAATTGGATTGGATGAGCATTCTTGTTACTCACGACGTGAAGATAGAAATTCACGACGTGAACTCAGTGAACGACACGTTTCGAGCCTAGAAGACACACGGCAAGCCTAGGAGGTGATCAGGATCAAAGTCACGACGTGAACACTTACGGTTCACGAAGTGGATGTCGAATTTTCACCCTATAAATAGAAATCGAGGGTATCCGGGAATGGTTGCTAATTCATACTCTCTTTCACTCTCTATACCCTCTCTAGCCATCTTAAAACACCCGAAGCCTCGGGAACGCCCCTAGCACCCGAAGAAAGCCTGAAGTTCCCGAGAAAAAGAGTTTTTCGAGCCGAAACTCTACCCGCGTGAAGCCCGGTCTTTCAGAAAACATCCCGGTTTCATCGAAGAATATTGTTTTAAGGGACGAAGTGTTGTCCAATCGTCGTCTTATCAAGTGAGTGTATAGTCACTTTCATCTTACATATATATATATATATATATATATATATATATATATATATATATATATATATATAGTATTTTATATAAAATACGTGCTATGTGTATATATGTTGTTTGTTTATTTGAGATGGGTAGATGAAAAATTGTTTTATACAAATTTTAAACTGTATATGTATTTTTATATCTACAAATATGTTGGGTAAAACATGGGTAGATGAAAGATTGTTTTATACAAATTCTAAACTGTATATGTATTTTATCTATGAATATGTTGGGTAGAACGTGGGTAGATAAAGAATGAGGGATGAAAGATGATATTGATGTTATTGGCAGCTGCGCCTAATAAACAACAATGGCAGCTGTGCCAATTAGAGAATAAATGATGTTGTTGGCAGCTGTGCCTAATAAATAACCAATTAGAGAACAAATGATGTTGTTGGCAGCTGCGCCTAATAAATAACCAATTAGAGAATAAATGATGTTGTTGGCAGCTACGCCTAATAAACAACATTGGCAGCTGTGCCAATTAGAGAATAAATGATGTTGTTGGCAGTTGCGCCTAATAAATAACATTGACAGCTGCGCCATAGGCAAAGGTTGACTTCGTGCTTATTTCTTAGGTTAATCCTTAGGAATGAATGAATGAGGAATAGCTGATTTCTTAGGGTGAGTCCTTAAGAGTAAAGAAGATAATGGGGGTGGGAAATTGGGCTGATTGTTTGATGTTTAAATATAATAAATAAATTTATTGTGGTTGATGAAATTAATAAATTTATTATTTGTGGGTTGAAAACCCTATATGCTCACCAGACTCCCAAGCCTGACCACTCAGCTTTTTATATTACAGGTAGTGGACCTAGAGCATAGTTTGGATGATGAAGAAGGATTTTTGGATCATAGGCTAGTAATTGTAAATAATTGTTGTAAGGCTTATGATGTACTGTTTATGTTTTTGGTCTGTATCGGAACATGACATCCCGAGGTTTTGATATATAATGAAGATACATATTTCTTTAAGAAATGTTTTGATAAATTTTTTTATCATGTTTTGTTTTGGGAACAAATTCCGCAACATGTTTTAAAATATTACTCTGATTTTATTTCAAAAGCATAAAATAAATCGGTCTTTTCTAGCTGAGAAATTTGGGGATGTCACAAAAGGAGTGAAACTGTTTGTGCCACCACCCCTCGGCCCTAAGTCCATTTTCTCATCTTTATATCTAGCGAAACTGTCGCCGGGAAATTCACCTAAACAGCCGCTCCTCCCCCATTTAAATTCTCGCCGCCGCCGTAATCGTCACACGCAGAGCAGCCATGAAAGCTTCAATGAAGTTTAGAGAGGAACAAAAACCTCTGTTTCGAGCAAAAGCGCCTCTCAAAATTCTTGGGTTCCCGTTTCAATCAGGCATGGTAGCCGGGGAATCGAAAGAGCTTTCATTGAATCTCAGCACTTACTTCGAATCAGGGCCATCTTTGAAGGTTTCTTATCGTCCAAATGATTCTCTAAATTCGTTTAGTGTCGTACTCAAGACCGGAACCGGCCATTTCGGTTCGCCGATCTCTAGCTCATTCAACATGAACTCCGAATTTAATTTGAGTCGAGGTGGTCAAAACCCTAGGTTTTTTGTTCACTTCAAGCCTCAGTTTGGAGACTTCATTGTCAAAAATGTTCAATCGTCGGTGTTTAAGAAACAAATTACTGGTGTTGTCGACGAAGATGCACCGGTGAAGGGGGTATTATCAGACGTGGAAATGACCGCCACAACGGCTGTCCAATTGAGGAAAAACACTACGTTGAGCTTCCGTTGGGGATTTAGGGTTCCGGCGACGGGAGACTCGTCGATGGTGCAGATGAAGATGAACAATTTAATGGCTGGGATTTCCCTCTAGAAGCTTCCATGTTTGATCATAAACAAGATCGGCATCAATTCAAGGAAGGTGGGGCTAGTACCCAGCGACGCGGTGGAGGCCTTTTTGGGCGTCAAAAAACAGCTCGAGATCATTCAAACTAAAAATGGAGCGTTAAAGAAAGCCATGGATAACTTGAAGTGTGAATTTTCTAACGGAGTGGAGTTCATACAAGCTGATAATGAGGTGTTAAAGAAAACCATGAATAATTTGAAGTGTGAATTTTCTAACGGAGTGAAGGTCATACAGGCTGATAATGAGGGCTTAAAGAAAGCCATAGATAACTTGAATTGTGAAATTTCTAACGGAGTGAAGATCATACAAGACGGTAATGGGGGTGTTCAAGAAAACCATGGATAACTTGATGAATGAAATATGGTGGACGAATTTTCCAAGAACTAACCATTGGCGTCTACTTCTACAATATCTCTACAAATTAAAGACCCATGGACTCTTCCAGAACAGATTTCAACTCTAATTAATTCACAACTTTGATTGTGGATGGCGCAAATAATCGTTAGAAGGGTATCTCCGATAATTAATCAAACTAGTGATAGCGGAACCTTGAAATTAATTCAACAAACAAAAAAACAATTGTATAAAAAATTATTTCATTACTTTGTTTAAAGTCATTTAATATTTTATATGAATAAATAAAAAGTTAGTACTTTTACTGATATTTTGTATAGGGATCAATTATGAATAATTTGCCACCGAAGTGATTTAAGTATATTGAGTTAACAGAAAATTACCTACAATTTATTAAAATCACGTACATTCGAACGTCAGTTGAAATATCATATTTGTACAGTACGGTGTACGCTAAACATATTTTGTAATAGTAAAAAGAAAAGAACTGATTTTATAATGATATAAAGAAAATTAATTTTGAGATCGAAAACATGTTATATAGTATATATTAGATTGAGACAAATTTATATAATCATGTAGATAAAACCTAGACAGTACATCAGCTTCAACAATAACAAACCCTGAAAATTATAATGGGAACAGGGGAGGTAGAAGTCGACATTATGTCACTAAGATGACATATAACATACACACAACAAAGACCTGTAAAATTGAGCAAACAAAGGAAAGAAGCGTACCCTGAAGATTATAATGGGAATAGGGGAGGTAGAAGTCGACATTATGTCACTAAGATGACATACAACATACACACAACAAAGACCTGTAAAATTGAGCAAACAAAGGAAAGAAGCGTACCCTGAAGATTATAATGGGAATAGGGGAGGTAGAAGTCGACATTATGTCACTAAGATGACATACAACATACACACAACAAAGACCTGTAAAATTGAGCAAACAAAGGAAAGAAGCGTACGGATCTGAGAACCTGCAAAAAGGGCAAAAAAAAAACACAGGGAGTAAGTAATAGAGAGTAGTGAAACAATAAATAAATAATTAGAAAACTATCGACTTTACCTCTTTATCGTCGTTGATGGTAATCTCCTTATGACATGTCCATACCATCTCAAATGTCCTTGCCTTATCAGCTTTCCCATATTTTCTATGTTTATGATGTGTTTTTCATGGTAGACTGGGATGCATAACACGTCAAGAGTCTAATTAGAACAATAAGATGTTTTTATATGATTTCAGGATCGCATCTGAATTTAATGAAGTAGACTTTGATAGGAATTGGATTGGATGAGCATTCTTGTTACAATTTGTCGATTTTATTTGGATGCAATGTTGCTTTATTGCCTTTTTCTTATCTTGGCATTCCTATTGGAGTCTATATAAATCAAGTACATGATGGCGTATAATAGTGGATTGATTTCATAAGAGATTATCCAGGTAGAAACTTAAAATGTTATCTTTTGGTGGACGTCTCATTCTTTTAAAATAAGTATTAGGAAGTTTATGAATATATTATATGTTTTTTATACAAACTTCCTAAGAAGAATTTCCATATGCTGGAAAGACATCGAGAAATTCTTTTGGGGAGGTGATAATGCATAAAATAAAATCAATTGGGTTAAGTGGGTTGTGATATTTAACTTAAAAGGAAAAGGTGGTTTAGGTGTTGGGACTTGGGAGTTTGTCTGCTCTCAACAAAATATTATTGTATAAATGGAAACAAACGTTCTGTAATGAGAATGATTCCTTATGGGTTAAAGTGATTCGAGTTGTTCATGGGGCTCAATCCGGCTTTTATAGCTTCCAAGGCATGGTTCAAGGAAACAAAGTTTGGAATTAATTGTGGGGTCAATTAATGAGTTACATGATTAAAGGGGTCTTTGTGACTATGTGATGTAGAAAGTTGTAGAAAATGGCATGGGGATTTGGTTTTGGTGGGATAATTGGCGAGACTCGATAACTTTTATCATCAAGTATGATAAACTATTTGCTTTGTCCTTGGAGAAACAAGGTGTTGTATACAACTTTTGGCCTTCGAATGGTTAGGTTTTTCAGTGGCTCAACGAGTTAAGAGGGGGAGTCGAGACTGAGAAATATCAGTCTATGCTTTTGGATTTAGAGCATATTCGGTCTACGGAGGCCCGAGATACTCGGAGGTGGGATTTGGATACTAACAAAACATTTTATGTTAGTTGTCGCCAGATGCATATTGATGATATTTTGTTATCGTCGAGTCCTACGGTCACCAGATAGAACCGATTTGTTCCGATTAAAGTCAATATTTTGAGGCGCATTGCTTGGGATAGACTTCCCACTCAACTTAGATTAGGAAATATAGGTATTGATTTGGACTTCACCAGATGCACCTTTTGTGATGTTGATTTAGAGACAATTCAACATCCTTTTTTTGTTTGCTCTGTTGCTTCACATGTGTGGTAGCGAATCTCTTAATGGATTGAAGTGACCATCCTTGTTTCCGAGTCCTTGGAAGAGTTTTATGGTTGGATTGATGGGTTACACGTACGGCTGTTGAAGCGTAATATCATTCTTTCCGTTGTAATGATGGTGTTGTAGGTTCTATGGAGCGTTGAGAATGATTAGGTCTTTGGATCAAAGAAGTACCAAAAATATACGATAGTTGATACTATTAAATTGTATGCATTAAATTGGTTTTGTTACAGAAAAATCCTATGAACCTTTTGATGGAGATTAGTGCTCATAGCCATAATAAACTTGGTAATATTACTAGAAATAGCAGTGTTCTTTTGGGTTACATGTAAGAACAAAGTAAAGCAAAACTCAAAATATATTTATATGATGGACTTGTTTTGTTAATTAATTAATAGTTTAATTAATTAATTAGAAAATAATGGAATATGAAATATTCCATAATGATTTGAAATATTTAGATAATTACAATTATATTTTGTAATTATCTTTAGGGTTTCAAATCACATCCTTATATAAAGGGGTCAAAATTCGTTTTGGTACATGTGAAAAATACCCTTTAGTCACCAAAGTTTGAAATCCTCAAAAACCCTGAAATGCCAAAAGTGTAGTTCCCACGTCATGGTCCACCGCAGATTCGAACTATCAATTTTGTTAGCTGCTCGTGTTCGAGGATTGTCCAGATATGCAAATGTTTTGTGTCTTGGGTGCGATTATAGAAGGGGAACACTCTGTTGGGTTCTCTAGTCCAGTCAACTGACTAAACAAAAGAAGAAAACCACAAAGAAAACAAATGTATGATTCATTCTTTTGTGCTCTTTAAGTTGCATAGAGTTGTTTGAGTTTGATCTGCTTGTTTTGATTCGTTAGATCAGAATTTGTTGTTGTTTTCAATGCCCTCTTTTTGCTCTTTGACTATGCTCGAAACCCATCACCTTTAACTCTTTGTTCCTTGTTAGCTTTTTTGTTTTTTAATAATATATTGTTGTTCCAAAAATATATCCTTACGTCAATTTTTTGTTAATCCGTGCCACTCCCAACGAGTTTCTTATAGCTCCATTTGGTATTCTATCCAAAAACAGTATACCACAAGTCCACCTCAGCATCCTTATAACATCCAAATTTCAAACCAATTTTTTTTCATCTTTAGTTCCATAATAAAATAGTTTCATAAAAACCATCCTCAGAAAAGTCATAATGTCAATTACAATTTCACATCTAAATATCAGAGTTTCCCAAAATGTCCAATAACAGAATCTCCCAGCAAGTGTGTACAATCAAACATTCGCTTTCCCGCGGTCCTCAGAAGTACCTGAAAGACATATAATCAACAAATGTAAGCACAAAGCTTAGTGAGTTCCCCAAGATATCACATACAACACAACACATAAAACAACTATGGGTTATCAGCAACCCTGAAGACTACCCGAAGTCTCAACACATATAAACAACACATACACAGTAATAGCACTTAGACCCAACTGTTCATCACACACACACACACACACACACATATATATATATATATATATATATATATATATATATATATATATATATATATATACACACACACACACAACTATTCTACCTCACTGGTAAGAATAAGTGAGGAGGCTCACCTGAGCTGATGACCGATAAAACTCACACCCGAACTGTCGGAACTAGACTCCGCCTAATTAAATACACCAATTAACCTTAATTAATAATTAAGGTATTTTCACACACACACTACTAAGCCCAAGTCAAGTCTAGTCCACACTTAGAGTAAAAGACCATTTTACCATTCACAAATCCCCACCATCCACCTAATACTCAATTGTTCAAATTCCACAAAAGTCAACTTGGTCAGTACGCTCGGCGTACTTGACTCTACGTTGGGCGTAGAGCGCATCACCAGAATAACGGGTTCGTATAAGGCTACCCGTGGCGTAGCCAAGCATACGCTCAGCGTACATAAGTTGTTCCCACAATATGCATGCAAAACGTCTTAATCCTTAAGACATCCATTCCAAACACAGATTTGGACCCTAAAGATCGTCTTAATCCATAAAGTCTCTGAATTTAAGCCTTTGCATGGCTACAAGGAGCTAAAACCCAAAACCCATAACTTTTACTTCATAACCCCCCCTACAACTCTTGCATGGAAGAAAGGAAATGGCCAAGCTAGCATTTTTATAACTCAAGACATCTTAGAATGTCTGAAAGGACGACTTAATAGCTCTGGAGTACTCCATACTCACAAAGATCCAAGCTTTGGGACAAAAGGACCAAAATACAAGACTAAGCAATATCTATTAAGACAAGCTCCAAGATGTAAACTTTATACCATGAAAAGGTGCACAAGAAGATGGAGTTTCTGGATCTACAAGCTAGAGTGCACAACCTCCACCTGAAAGATCTTCCTTCTAACACCAAGCACACAAGAATCACTTTCCAAGCTTCAAAACTCTCATTCACACACTAGGTTTCGGTTTTAGGGTTTATAGGCAGTGGAGGCTGGATGAGAGAATGTCCAAAGGAGGGATAAGACGATTAAATAGGGGTCGCGCCCTAAAATTTAGGGTTTAGCATCTGCGCGAGTACGCCCGACGTACTCACAGGTACACCCAGCGTACTCCCTCCCCCGTCTTGACTTCCTCGAAGACTTATGCCCAGCGTACAAGGCTAGAACGCCTAGCGTAAGTGGCCAAAATGCAATTTATAACAACTTCAAGGGATGAAAATAAAAGACCTGACAAATGGCGTTACAATCTTCATTTTTGTTACCTACATATTCCTCATGCGGTGCTACTTCAGCCAACATTCGAAATCGTAACCAAAAAGCTAGGGTTAGAAGTTAGAATACCCCAAAATCTTACTCATATATTCAATCAAACAACAATGGAAATAGTTATTTATGAAGTGATGTTATAAATAAGGAATAACAACTAGAAACTATAATGATTCCCTTAGCGATCATGAAAGATCGAATTTGATCGAGCTTAAGCTCAAACCATGTCTATGAGATTACAAAGTGATTATATCTTCCAAGCACTAGAGATAATAAGATTTAAACTTAATCTTCAGAAAACATTAAAAGATCTTTACCCCCCCCCCCCCCCCCCCCCCCCCCCCCCGGTGCATGAAAAACTTTTTTTATATCTCTTATTAGATCAAAATTTTAATGAAAATGGATTAAGAGGGAAGGTACTAACTTATTAACTTAGTTTACTCTCACTTAAGCTCTTCAGTTTCATTTTTCTAACTAAAAACTTACTAGCAACCTACTTTCTCAACTAACCCTTATCCGTTAAATCTCCTACATGAAATGTCTTAAATTAGATAACTAAGTCAATTAGGGGTATGATAAAAATTGAAACTGAATAACCGAAGTGAACCAAATGATGTTTGGTTTATTTTGTTTCAGGTTATTCTATTTCTGGTTAATTCGGTTTGGTTAACCGGACAACGATGTCTTATGCGGTCTGGTTTTGATTAACATTTCAATATTTTGGTTAAAATGAAAAAACTGAATAAGATATTTCAATTATATATATATATATATATATATATATATATATATATATATATATATATATATTAGTTTAACATATATTTGTACATTCAAAATTGTATTTGCTTTAACCAATAAACTGAAAGGAATAAACCAATACTGATCAAAATAAACCTTATTTAGTTTTATTATAGTTCGTTTTAAGATATAAAAAAATAAACTGAATCAATTAAATCGAAACTTGAAAAAATAACAACTTTAAAGCCAATTACAAGGTCAAACATAACACATTGCTCCAAAGTTTCGTTTAAGGAGAGATATGAAATGAAGCAGAAGGATTGGTAAAAAATCATTACTCCCGAGTTTATTTATTGGAATGAAGATGAGGAAATGGGAAGGATGATTTATGCTTATATTCCTTAGAAACTATCCTTCCAAATCTAGAGAAATCGGAGAGAAAGAACATGAACATTATTTTCTTTCTTTTCTTTCCTTTCCTCTAATGAACTCAGGAGCGGAGTGTAACTTTCACAAAATTTACACTCTTAGTATGAAATATCTCTAAAATTTCATCATAACTTCCTATAAATTTCATTTTTATTTATCAAAATCATTATTTATTTTATTTTTAATTTCCATTTTTTTTAAACAAAACCGACCGAAAATTCTAGGCCCAAAATGAGGATGTTACACTACCTTATTCCACTTCCTTAGTAAACACCAAGCAAAGAAGAGACAAAACATCCAATCCTCGGTCATCTAGGTTAAACCTCGTAGGAAGTTTATCTACAGTTAAACGCCAAGCAAAAACATTTTATAGGAAGAAGCCATACCTATCGTGTAGGAATCGTTCTAATTACCAATTGTAAGTCATTTGACCCCCAACAAATAGAGGTGCACAAACTGTTTTATTTTTTTTTCAAACCGAACCGGTTCGGTTCCAATTCAAGAATAGTAACATCGGTTCAACCATAAACCGGTTCGGTTCAAACAGGTTCCATCATAAAAAAAACTCGAACCTATCCAAACCGGTTACATTAGTTCTAAACCGGTTCGATCGGTTCGACTACCGGTTCTAAACCGGTTCACCGTTACTAAACCGGTTCAAACCCATTTCAATGTCTAAAATCTCGAACGGGTGCGAACCGGCGGTTCGGTTCTTGAATCGGTTCGGTTCATTGTGAACGGTCGATGACCGGTTCGAATCGTGAACCGGATTTTTTGTGCACCTCTACCAACAAAGACCACATCCAACTAAAGCCTTACCAAAGAGAAGTCACCAAACTGATATGGGCCAATAACTAATTCCAAATGCATAGAAATCTGTTGTCCAATTCAACAATATAGACTCTATTAAATTGAACCTCTAAAAGGGCAACTCTTAACCAAACCTCTTCCATCGAAGAAGTAAAACAGCCGTTACAAAACATCTTCTTACACCAAGCATAAAGATTCACACTATTGTCACGTAAGCGGACTATAGTTCAAACTTCGAACCACATCCAACCAAGTAGAATGTCAATTAAATGATTACCACTCAGAAGACAATCGATAAACCCACTAACCTCATCAATAGCCTTCGCCACCCTCACCCAAAAGACATTTGTGTCGGTGTGAAACTGCCATACTAGATTGAAAAATGACCAATTGAGGGGAAATAAACTACTAACAAGAAGACCACCATGCTATTGGAAAATCTTGAATTGAGTTATCATAAATTCGTTTATATTTATTTGAGTTTTGTCGTTGGAAAATAAGTGGTGGCCGAAAATAATGATAGTAGCCGGAAACAATTTTGATGGTGGCGATAACTTAAAAAAGCAACGAAATGTTTTAAAGGTCACATATTCAAACCCAGACATAAATATATTAACTAATTGTAATATTTGAAATTTCTACACAATCATTGTAATATTTGAAATTTATTCCATGAGTTTTGTACACAACCATTGTAAATTGTAATATTTGAATTTTGTTACCATTTCATGTCTTTTTTCTTTTTAAAACGTTGGTAAATACATCATATCTTTATGATAGATATTTTGAAAATGAAATTCCTTAAAGGAAAATTTAAATTCAAATTTGAATTAATACTCATAATCATAAACTTGGACTTTTATTTATCTCGTAAATAAATCAAACCAAACAAAACATTGCCGAATTTAAAAATTTTGAACTATAAAAAGCTCTAAAAATTTCGAAAATTTAAATTTTCTTTGATTGCCACCTTAACTTCATTTACATATATACCCCCAAAATTTATTTATCTTTTTATCCAAAAAAGGGTATTATTGACAATAATAATTTAGAATGTTGACAAAATTACAATTTCTACAAATTAAAAAAATCCAGCTTCCCATCCTTATATTAAGCGAAACTGTCGCCGGGAAACCCACCTCAATACCCGCTCTTCCCCTTTTTAAACCCTCGCCGCCGCCGTAACCGTCACACACAGAGTAGCCATGAAAGCTTCAATCAAATTTAGAGATGAACAAAAGCCTCTGTTTCGAGCAAAAGTGCCTCTCAATATTCTTGGGTTCCCGTTTCAATCAGGGATTGTAGCCGGTGAATCGAAAGAGCTCTCCTTGAATCTCAGCACTTTCTTTGAATCAGGGCCCTCGTTGAAGGTCGCTTATCGTCCAAATGATTCCCTTAATCCGTTTAGTCTCGTATTCAAAACCGGAATCGGCCATTTCGGTTCGCCGATTTCAAGCTCACTGAACATGAGCGCTGAATTCAACTTGATTGGAGGCAGTCAAAACCCTAGTTTTTTTGTTCACTTCAAACCTCAATTCGGCGACTTCACTATCAAAAAAGTTCAATCATCAGTGTTTAAGAAGCAAATTAACGGTGTTAGCGGAGCTGCGGAGGAAGATGCACCGGTGATTGTTGATCTGTTCGAAAACGGCAAGAAATTTTCCAATTCGCCGTTGGAATCTCCAGCCGCCGGTCTGGTGAAGAGCGCCTTATCCGACGTCGAAATGACCGCCACGACGACCGTTCCGCTGAGGAAAAACGCTGTGCTGAATTTCCGTTGGGGCGTTTGGCTCCCGGAGGCGGAAGACTCGGCGATGATGCTAATGAAGAAGAACAACAATTCAATGCCTGGGATTTCGTTTCAGAAGCTTCCAGTGTTGATCATAAATAAGATCGGGATCGAGCACAAATCGGGTGCCGATTGCAAGGATTCAAGCAAGGTGGGACCGGCAACCACTGACGCGGCGGAGGCCTTTTTGGGCGTCAAGAAACAGCTGGAGATCATACAAACGGAAAATGTGGGATTAAAGAAAGCCATGGATAACTTGAAGAATGAATTTTCTGCCGTTAGGTTTAACGGCGGAGACGTTAATGCTCGTTTTTGCGGGAAGGCTATGGATAATGAGATTGTGAATGAAGAATCGAAGAAGAATGGTTTTAAGGGTATCTCTGATAATTAATAAAAGTTGCAGGTTTTGTTTGAATATTCTAGATTTTTTTAAGTATCTTGTGGTTCATAATGAAGGTCATTCATTCATGTCGTTTTTTGTTAAATTATATGGTTTTGTGTTAAATAAGGTGTCTTTTTTTGTTAATCATTTTCGTTAATCTAAATACCGACTTATCTAAATACCGACTTATTTATAAAAAAAAAAAACTCAAAAAGTCTTTATAATTGTAAAGTTGCTCATCTTATTATCTTTGTATAAGTTGAAAATTTACAAATTTCATTATCAGTACGGCCTACGGCGGCAACAACAAACCCATGATCCCACTGAAATCGGGTAAAGTGAATGTGGGTGTTGTTGGTTCTATCGGAAGAAGAGAGAAAAAAAAAAGGAATATTTCATATATATGGCCTTCGTCATATGAACAACACAAACTTGTAAAAATGAGACATATATATTGTGTGTGAATGCAATAGTTCAAAAGGTTTGTTTGGTAGATGAAGAGCAATTACAAATAAACGAATGAAAATAAAGCAACGTAATAGGTAACTTTTTTTTTTTTTTTTTTGGGGGGGGGGGGGGGGGGGGTGGGGGGGGGGTGAGGGGTAAAAAAAATTGTTTGTGAAACTTAAAAACAATTTTCATAATAGTTTTTCTATTAGTTTCAAAAAAAACTGATTTTAAAAACATGTAAAATTTGACTTTTTAAAATTTTTTTTGGCTTTTAACCAAAATAGTTTCAAAAATTGAGATTTTAAACCAAATATATTTTAACTTATTAATTTATTAGTTTTTTCACCAAAAAAATTAATCCAAATATTTTTTAAAAAAACTGTTTTTACCACAACTATAAGTCAATAAGTATTTTTTTTTAAAACTATTTTAACTAAAATTGCTTCAAAAATGAAATTTTATCGGCACGTCAATATGAGATTAATTTGAGTCGTACACCATACATTATTTTGCATTGTTGATTTACCATTTGGATTAATGATCCTCAGTTAATCTAGTCATGAATGATAGACGAGCACAGAAAAGATTAACTTGCTATTGACATAAATAAATAAATCTAAAAAAATATAGGAGTTTCTTATAGATTGATATTAGCGAATAGTTGCCTACCTAAACAACTTCTTGGTGTGATTTCCGGCTAATCCATTTCGCATCATGAAATGATATATGAATCCTAGCCTTATTTGAAATAGTTTCTATAATTGGGTGATTGTTTTTTAAGAATTAATAAAACAAACTAAGATGAAACTTTGTATTGAATGATATCTATACTCAAACTTTATCCACTAAACTTTTACTGCTATAAAATCCCTAAAAGGATAAGCTAAAAGGAATGATCAATCTTGTTTAAATTTGTAGCTTGAGAATAGTTCTTATGGACGAAAAGAAAGATTGTAATTTTGATAAAGCTCTTCTTGAGGTTCATCAAATTATTGTTTCTTTAGTTGTATGAAGGAACAAGTGTCAAGTGTACCTTGTACATTGATAAGATTTACGCAACATGGAATTTCCATCATGTTGGGAGTTGACTATGGTGACATAACCAACTAGCTAACTTGTGCATATAATCAACTTATGAAGAGTTTGGAAAGATCCATCATGGAGTTGCATTGCATGTTGTGGACCTTCTGGAACTAACATAGCTAAGCATGGAAACTCCAAGCTCCAAATGATCCTCTATTTGCTATCATGAATGAAGTGTCAAAAAGAAAAAATCCAATTGTCCATAAGCCAAGGGTAGTTAAAGTTGGTATACCCAATTGCAACACCAAATGCCAAGGACAAAAGGGATGCTTATTCTGAGACATATTATGATAGGTTATTCGTTTCCAATACAAGAAAAGGACTAAGAAAGCACAAATGCCCAAAATATCATAAAGAGACTGAAACATAGAGAAGATAGTTTTATCAAGGATACTGAGCCCCTGCTACAATCCTTAGTATCAAGAAACAATTCGTTCTCCCGAGTGTTTAGTCTATGATCAGATTAGTGAATCCATAACACCATTGGAATATTACCTATAACCTTGAGTGTTTCACTAAAGGATGAGTATTGACATTTTCAAGAATGTGCAATAAATAAAAGGAAGTAATGAACTATGACATAGATAAGGAAAATTTGATAAAGGATACCAAGCCCGCGCCAATGTCCTTAGGATCAAAAGGTGAATCGTTCTCAATTTGTTTAGTTTATGGTCTTATGAATGAAATTGCTTATACAATGTTTAATGAGATGGTTCTAACTTATTTAAATAAAGAACATTTCATATGTTTTCTATTTATAAGCAAGTCATGAAATCTACGAAACTAGTACAATAACAATAGTTCAACAATGATTCAAATATTAGGATGAAATGTTATTATGAAAGTCATCTTCTTGGACATATAAATAAGAAATGCATTACCAAATATTCAGTTTGATAGGATTTTGGAATTCATTGACCACAAGTCTTATGATAAATACAAGCCTTATTTGTCAAGATTAATAACAAAGACACCATTTTCTGGTGTGGATATTTGTTGGAATTAGTTCGCACTAATGGACCGTTCAAATTAACTACAATAAATGTTGATCCAAATGTATCCAAAAGTTTGATTAAATTGTAACAACCAGATCCAGGTAAGCATTGCTTTTGAGTTATCAATTAAATTTGTAAGGATTTAAACCTTGGTCACGACGTGAGCACTTGTGTTTCACGATGTGACCGCGTCAAGGAAACGTGCATCCTATTTAGTTGTCACGACGTGACTGCATGTGGGTCACGACGTGACAACCCTTACGTGCCAAAACCCTACTTTTGGGGATTGTCCCCTTATTTAAGGGAGTGAGGGTTAGGTTTGCTCACCCTTGGCCTCCATCACATCCATTCATCCTCCAAAAACCCTAATCTTCCATTATTGATATTTGAGCTCCATTTTTTGTGATTTGAAGCATTGTAGAAGAAGATGAGGCATTTGGTGCATCATTTCAGCTTGCTAGCCACTCCTAGTCATCTTGAGTTGCATTAGGACTCTTGTAAGTGATGGGTTTTAAGTACTATAACACTCCTATGTTGCACATACAACCCTAGATGCTTTGGATCTAAGTTTTCTATAATTATACATGCAATTTCATTTTTCCAAAGCATGTACCCTAAACAGCATGCAATTGGATATATACAACATAAAAAACTAGTTAGAATAATACCTCTTATTTGTAGCTCGTAGTTCTTGGCCTTTCAAAAGCTTAGCACCTCAAATGTGATGCCTCTAATGTGTCACAAACACCAAAAGCAAGAGGAGGCTTATGAGAGAGAGGTTAGGTAGCACCAAATCGGTTATGATTCTCCTTTAGGATGCATTAGCCGATTTTAGGGTTAAGGGGTTACTTTTATAGGTAGCACCAAATCGGTTATGATTCCATGCAAACCCTAATTCACCACGACTCTTCGTATTTCTTAGGCCCTTTGGATTAAACCTCCATAGACTCTCATATAGGTTAATCAACATGGTGTTGGGTTTTATGTACTCTAACGTTCCTATGGTGCACATACAACTTTAATGCTTTGGATCTAAGTTTTCTCTAATTATACATGCAATATTGGTATCCAAAGCATGAAGCCTAAACTAGCATACAAATTTTAATATATGAATCATAAAATTCGTTAGAAGGTTACCTCTTGATGTAGCTAGTAAGACTTTGGCCTTGTGAGAACTTAGCACCCCAAGTGTTGTGCCTAAAACAAGTCACAAACACCAATAAACAACTAAATGGATATGAGAGAGGCTAAGGAGACTAAAAATCGAATTCTCTTCTTGGAACACAAGTAGTGGCCGATTTTAGGGCTTAGAATAACATATTTATATGTGTAGAAATCCAAGAGTCATGTGTAACCCTAATCCACATATAAGCTTATGATCCATGCATTTGATTTGGACCAACACTTCATGAACTATCCATAAGCTTAACCCATCACAAATCAATAATGGATCATTAGCCCAATCCATATGTATCAATTTAATTAGTCTCTTTTGATAACTAAATTAATTCTAAATTAAATATTGATCAATACTAATTAAACAATATGATTCCTCAATTAATATATTATACTTATAATATATTAATAAATCATAAATAACCTCTTACTCAAATATCCATCTATCAAATTATTCTGGTGAAGGCAACCCAAAATGGACCATGCTACTATCGGGTAAAGTACATACCAATTATATTTATGGGCTTAGACACCTAATCCAACAGTCTCCCACTTGGATAAGTCTAATAACTATAATTGGCAATGCAACTTAAAATACGATTAGCAATCGTAGCTCTCAAAAAGCCGTTGTCATACTCTGATGCGTCCATTAGATAATTGATCATATAATCCTCAGTTATTCAAGATATCGTGTGGACAAAGACATGGAATAAAGTCATACTCATTATCCAACAGTTTGTTTCCCGATTTCCGATTTGTTTGACATAAAACTTGATTGAACACATCAATTTAGTCTTGACCGGGCCCGACACATAAGTCAAAACAAAATCATCGAGGGTCCAAGATATCGCTTTTACTCCTCTTATGATAAAAGGAACAGATAAACCTCGACTTATATGCTTGTACTAATTACTCGTTAAATCATACACAACAACACTTTTTATAACATTGAGTTACCGATGCGTTTTCACACTATCAATGTACAACCAACTCATAATCAACAACTCATATATCTTAGTTTGAAACCTATATGATATTATCATCTCACAATCACTCGTGATAAATTCCATGAAGTGATTCATGTGAGTGTGTATTTAATCCAATACTCAAATCTTATTTCAAGAGCACTCATGAATGTTTGTAGCAAACTTTGCTACGTTTAACACCTTAGACAATCTTACAAAAACCCATTCATGACAGTCTACTTTCATAACCTACTTCCAAAGTACGATCGACTGTGGATAGTTTGAATAATTATATTATTCTAGAAGTCAAAACATGCAAAATGAGACAATAGTAAATAAT